GACAGCTATGTCGCAGCCATCTATGAGCAAAACGTGGTTTTGTCAGAGGACACTGAAGTGCCGGTTTCTCCTGAGGAGGCCTTGATGCTAATGGACAAAAATATGGCAATTTTGGAAGTGGCCATCAAAGAAGCAGCCAGACAGGTATTATGACCTCACTGGAGACATTCATCTTGGTAAACACGGAGCATTTATTCATTTTCTTAATGTTGTTTTTTGGTTTTCTATGTTGGTACCAGGGTGCCCATATCATTGTGACTCCTGAAGATGGCATCTACGGCTGGGTCTTCACAAGGGAAACAATATACCCTTATCTTGAGGATATCCCGGACCCACAGGTGGACTGGATTCCATGTGCTGATCCTGGAAGGTATCGTCCCTGCTGTGCATGGTGGGATGGTCCGATGGGAAAGACAGCTACCCATAGGAGCTGTTGGTAGTTTTAAATGTCTTGGAACAATCCCTGGGATATGAAGGCAGGTTAGACATCATGTAGTTGCCATAAATAGCTTCAGACAACTTCCTTCATAATTTTTCTCTGTAGTTTTTTTTTCATTGTAATTATTTTGATTTTAGTTAGTATAATCATAAAGGTCAAGATTTATTTAAAAGAAAACCAGAAACATGCAGAATCTACATTTCAGTAATATATTCCATGCATGTTGTAAAATGTGTTTAAGATATAGGAATATTAGGAATATTTGTGAATAAAATGAGAGCTACTACTGAAAGCATATACTGCACAATTTCAGATTTATATTTTTGAATAGTGACATGGTAGCCTTTTTATTCTTTTAACTTATTTTATTTCCATCAGATTAAAGCATGATATTGTTCAGGCCCAGTTCTTCTTGACATCACAGCATTACAAGGGGAAGGAAGCTCAAATTTTTCTTCTTTAATAAATTGCACCATTTTTTGAGGCCACAGTATTTGGTGAAAGATGAGGTAATGCACCATAGAAGAAACAAATCCTAAGCTACCTCAGCACGGCGGCTGAATTGAGAGCTGAAGCACCACGGCTGAGATCACCCCGTGTGTTGGTGTAACAACGCTGTGCCACATGCCAGCAGCAGAAGGGAGACTGGAAGGTGCAAAGGTTTGCTTTCACTGCGAGGAAACCCCTGTGTTCCTCACTTACCTGATGTGAGATGAAGCCAGAGTTTCAGCACGCTAAGCTTTGAAGCACAAAACCACTGTGTTCTGCTGCATGCCAGAAAACGGCAGTCTCGTACCAGAAATTACAAACCTATCATTGTTGTGATCTGTAGTCTTAGTGTAGGCATTTATACCAATCGACTGGTTTTGATGTTTTGTTTTCTCTCTTCCTTCCCTGCTGTGTAGGTTTGCTCCTTCACCGGTGCTGGAAAGACTGAGCTGCCTGGCGAGGAATAACTCCATCTACGTGGTTGCAAATATGGGAGACAAGAAGCCATGTAATTCCAGTGATCCGAGGTGCCCAAGCGATGGTCGCTATCAGTACAATACCAACGTTGTCTTTGATTCAGAAGGGAAACTGGTGGCTCGCTACCACAAGGT